GCGCATGGATGACAAGCCACCTGTTGAATCAGTGAAACGTAGACTAGTTGTCCCCTACCCAGTTCCCCTCCCACCGACCCAACGGAATGAGGAACTTGAGTTTGATTTTGGTGTCTCGGCTGTTTTGGGAACATTCTTTCGGTGTCAGGTTCATTACAAGACTCATGACGGAAGCAGCCCATGTGGTATCCCATGGTTAGTTGTTATAATGTGCCCGTCAGGGGCATTTTTTTCCTCTTTCCTGATGCAATCCACGTGTTCATTGATCGGTTTTTCTCTCCTGTTCCTTCAATATCGCTTTTTCCCAGGGACAGTTTCTCTGTAAACGATTCCGTTTTCCTCTTGTTTTGATTAAGGTCGTTCGTTATGCTGTTTGCAGCCCAGTTTTCCTCGACTCTCTATATATCATTTATACCATGAAAAAATTTATTCTCCCACCCATACTGTTTCGATACATAAAAACCAAAACAGTGTATGTTATAAAATCTTCCCTTGTTGTGCTAATTTTTCATGAATTGTCGGCTTTGTCTAATTTCTAGTGGGCACTGTTAAAATGTTCATCGATAACAATTTGACGGTTTATAAGATTAATGTTACCAGTTCCTGTTGCTTCCGCTCTGCACAGTCACAATGTGTCTAGAACAGCAGTGAGTAATGCCATTCCAGGATATCGTGACTCGGAAAAACAGCTAAGAATCTGTTTGTTCATCGAAAGCGCAATAAAATGGGTTATCGGATAATAAATCATTTAAACGCGTTGTGTAGCAATAAATCATTTTGGTTTTTCAGTATGATTTCCAAAGCACGAATCAGACGTTATTCTCGAACACGTCCGACGCTGCTGCCGTTCGCTTACCCTCTAACGATGAAGGCAACATAAAATGATGATACGAAGTTATTCTAACGATAAGAATAACCTAACCTGTCTTTTAGCAGGATGGCACCATGTTCTGACTCCCTATTAGCAGCGGATACAGATGCAATCTTCCGATATTGCATCTGGAACACTCTAGACGATGGAAGGAAGAATTATCAGATTGTGGAAGCTGTTTTTTCAAGTAACTTTTGGTTTCTATGTTCTTCCCAACTTTTTTTTTTATAAATTGAAGTCGCATTATGCGACTATTTAAAATATTGCTTCTTTCCGTAGATTCGTATCGCATCGCCTGAAGACACTCGTTTCTTATTTTACTGGGAGGTGGTCGGCTACAGAGGCACGAACTGATTTTCTACGGCTTTGCTACCCTAAAACATACCGAAGTTCTATTAGGTGCTCTGTCAGTAATTTTGATTCTTTAGAAAAGGCGCAAGATTTCTTGTTTTCATGTGATGGTTGAAGATTAAAGCATTTTAGGTTCAAGTTTAAGCATTTATTCAACTGTCTCTATTTTGTCACCGCAGCTATACCCCAAATGCTTAGTTTTTTGACCAGTGTTTGTATTACTCTCCTGACGGACTTCGATCACTTCGCAGATATGAAATATTCGAGAAGTATGCACCTTAATTGTAAATTACATTTATTTTCTGTTATTGTCCAATGTTAGTAATTATGGATCGACCTTTTTAACCTGATCATGCTCTACTTGAATGTCAGTCAGATTCTGCCTGCTACAGTAAAACTTTTTATTGGACACGTATACTGTGAATTTGATGTGAATTTGTTTTTTCTGACGTACATGAACAGTACTTTCCGAAATGTGGCATCCATCTGAAAATTCAGTCTTCCGGTTGTTAAATGCGAACTAAGGTAATAGATCTAGCAAAGGCTGATTCATTCTGCTGGAATGGCAGGCAAGCATTCATCAAAAGCTGTCAAAAATTGCCAACAACTCGTCATGTCCGTAAAAGATGGGAAATTTGCTCATCAATCTGTCTTCATTATCCTGACATTACTGCCCATTTCTTGGGGCATGAAATAAACATTGGATAAAATTTGGCACTTGCAATATTCAGCTTAGGGGGATGGATCGCAAATAACTGCTTCGTGCATTTTATTCCATGATTATTTCAGCAATGATTCCTTCGCGTATATGGCGCACTTAGAAACACTTCAGAGTAAGCTCTAAACCAGTGAGTAACGATAAATCGAAAATCTTAAGCACATCCTAATGCACCAAATCAGGTAACGCTGTTTGGCAACAAATCAAGGCTTATTCTTATATGTTTAGAATAAAGTCTCAATGGCTGTCAGTTTATGGTTTGTATTGGGTTCCTAAAACAGTGGCGCTTCTCACATCTGTGCATACCGATTTCTACTAAACATAAAGGCTCGAACAATGAACAGATTTCGGTACAGTTTCGATAGACTATTTCGACATATTACGCTATATGCATTGTCCCCCATCGTTCTGCACGTTATATTCAGTTATTGGAATCGCTTCTGGCCGATCAAAGATCGATGACCGGCACAATTTACTGCGAAAGATGAGGAATCTTTTTTTTCGCATTAGCGAAACGCTAAATGCTAAGATGCGATACGAAAAACATTATGAATCTTCTTCAACAGAAAGTTGTGACAGGTAGCTAAGGATGATGATCACGTAACAGAAGTAAACAAGTGAAACAAAGTATAAACCAGTGACTCTTCTTTAAGTCATTCTTTAAGAGAATAAGGAAATTTAATTAATAATAAATTTAGTTGCTTTAGCGGAATCTTTGGGTGCATCTGGTTATTAGCTAGGGCATCAGGTGAAAAGGTCCCATCGAGCTCGATGGAATCGCATTTCAGGAATCCTCATGTGACTACTCCAAAACAATTGCTGTCCTTGTTGTCCTGGATTTGCACTTGCTGCTCGTTCTCGACTCATTGCACCAAAGCAACATGGGGCAAATACATTGCCAAAGGAAATTTACGGGGAAGACAGATCTTGTTGTTCCTTAGGACTTGAACCCAGCATCTCTGAAGGTCGAAGTCGACTTAATGGTCACTGTGTCACGACGATCTATGAATGAGCCAATCAGTGAACGAAATAATGAATAAGCACATCAATGCATTAACGAGTGAATGATTGAACTCTTGAAAGAGCGAACACATCACTGAATGGATGATTCACGGCATGAAGGAACGTGAGTGTTGATGTTTGATTGCAAAGCTAGTGAAAGTAGAATTGGTGGTTATGTCTCCAGAACTATCGATCACAAACACTGTAAATAACGTCTGAAGTAAAAAGTACTTTCTCATTATTGACGTTTAATTTTTTATAATCATAACGAAAGAATATGTTGAATGCGTCGAGTTCCGTAGATATGATGTGCAGCAACTCATGGTCAATAGTTGTCAATTTCACTTTAATTCTATAGGATTCGCCTCGTGCTCATCGTTCTTGATTGGGCTGGCGGTGCGGAGTCCAAAATCATCAGTAAATAGTGAATCGTAGTTTGGAGGTGGTAGCTCATATCTGGTCTGCATGTCGAACGCATGGATAGCACCGACAGCCGGCGGTTCCGCAAGACAATGTGGATCATACGAAGCGACATTAACCATATATCTGCTGCCTTTTAAGTGTTGCCAGCAAGTGCTTGCAATGACGAAGATGAGCAGGTTCATCGAGAAGGCATATGCCCCGAACCAGTACGCCGGTATGTCAGGCGTCGACCGCAGACCCGCGGCCTGCCAATCGATGCCGTAGATACGCAGTCCGAACCGTGTTGTGTTCCGTCCGCTGCTTCGGGCTTCTTTTATTGACTGCAGGTCGACGTACGACAAT